AATAATAATAATAATAATAATAATAATAATAATAATAATAATAATAATAGTTAATAATAATAATAAAATAAATCAGCAATTATTTTTAGTTTGTGTAATTTGTAATCATTAATCTTTAAATCATCAAGTGATTAATTTTTTTGTTTCATTACGACATTCATTGGAAATTGTATTATATGTTATACAATTTATTTATATGTATTTATACATTATGCGCGCGTTTCTTATATCTCATCCTATCTTAAGCTGATATTGCCATTCAGTAGACGTTGTGAATATGCAGATTCATAGCATCCGTACTGAACGTACAATCGCCTGAATCTGTGATTTCTAGTACCTCATCAAAGCTGGCATATAATCATACATATGTGTATCATCTTGAAACCGTTTGTGTCGTTTGAGTTTACAACAGAGTTGTAGATCAAAGCTTGAGAGAAATATTTACGTATCCTTCCTTTTATAAGTATTTGCCGAGTTTCTAATTTGTTGGTTTATCATTCTTTAATGTACACATATCTTTGCTGTAAAAATGAGTATAAAAAAATCTTAAAATTTTGATCACTAAATAGTCCGTTTTTTTTTTTCAAATCGTATAGAAAATAATGCCAATTACGACTTACGAATTATGCAGATCAGTCATTCAATTCTAGTTAATCGGAAATTTTTTGATTTCATTCATCAGAAGAAAACAATTTTTATAAAGTTGTAGGATTGTGCGTAAAGTGCAAACCTAATAATGCTGTGATTATTATGTATTACTATGTTTCTTCAAAGCAACAAAAATAATAAATATTCACAATTTTTTTTTCTACGAATATGTTAAACTAACAAACTGTAACATAATCAAGAATGCAGTCATTTTATGATTAATAATTGCAACGATTATGATTACTTGTCCTTATTCATTAATGAAGTGACAATTGTTTATTTGATAATCAGTATATATATCGAAACATCTTGTTTCATATTTTTGTTATTTATTTATTATGCACTAATAAATCATTGCATGCGTAATACGCGTAACGTCAAAACTAGGCGCAAATCGATGACCTGAATGACAAAATTAGACAATGGTTAGATCGTTTCAATGGCGTTACGAGCAATTATTGATGAAACAATTACCGAGACATCCAGATCGAGCAAAGTGGCCTCCGAAACAGTTCGCAGAGTCTCTTTTCGAAGCAATATAAATTTAATTGCACGAATCACGATGTCTTAACTGTAAATTTGTAACAATATGTATATAACTGATATGTTCGTTATTTTTCATCGAACTATTTCATGAATTCAATCATGAATCACTCTTTTTACTTATTCGAATATAATATGCAAAAGTGTGTTTTTTGAACACGTTAGTAATTAAAAATTATAATTTCATCCTATTCAGATCTTTATGTGTAATCTTTGATAACTTTTATGCATTTCTTTCTTGTTATTTCAAGCGTGATCACTTTTCTACTCAAAATGATTGTTCTGATATATTAAATTTAATTAATGTTAATTCTAGAATATTTTCTTTCAAAGAATCTTTATATCCTTGCTTCTCTTTTAAATTTTACAAAGGTAATTTATTATATGGGTAGGTACTTAATTCCTTTTGGATTTTTTCCACATCAGTGAAATTTTTTAAAACACAACATGCTTCACACGACGTAATTTAAAAGTATATTTATCTTTGAATACAAATTCATGCTTGAAATTATAATTATAATTAATACACGGTCCGTGTGTAAACAAGTATTTCAGAATCTCAGCTTTTTTCAAAAACTCATTAAAAGCTGTTCAGTCGTCCCAAGCTCTTTTTCAAATTTCGAATCCATATGCTCGCAAGCTAGCATTGAAAGAATACTACATGAAAACAAACTCGCGAAAAAGAGTCGATTAACAAGTGTCATCGTACGTTTTTTTTTTTTTTCTTTTTTCTTCAAACGAACGACGGATTCGCGTATAATTGCTCGTCACTCATACACGCCAACTTCTGTTCTAATAGCGGAAATAAACGAGTCTCTCCAGGATTTCGTTTTCATGGTCGGCACCGCGAGAGTGCTATTATCATACGCGCGCATTTTCTCATCGCTTCTGGTCTCGCCTTGCTCCCTTTGTCTTTTCGATATCATTCGTTTATTCCGGCAGCTGCACCTCGCGTTTGATTTCGTTCTTTTGACGATCGAGTCTGCTGTTTTCAAGCTAACGGTCTAGTATCTAGAAACGGGAGTCAAGGGCGACAGACCAGAAGGCGCCTGGGGTTGACTCCACGAGCGCACACACAATCGATATAGCCACTAAAGTTCATGGCGCAGCAACCACCAACCACCAACCACCGACCACCACCACTGCCAGCCATCATTACCCTGCTGCGGTTCGAACTGACTCGCTTTCGTTCCCTTGCCAGTGCTTTCTTCCCCGTTTTCTTTTATTCCCGCGCGCGCCAGTTTCGCGTGACCTTACCTACCTGCGCATTTGCACGTGCTTCCATCCGCGTGTCGGATCGCACCACCGTTTAACCTTGAGTCTCTTTCGCCACCCTAATCGGCCTGCATTTTACTCGGCGCGCTGCGACACGTGTACCCATAGGATTACCTTCGCTTCGAATCCTGCATAAATCTCCTCGACTCCGCGTCTTTTATCGTCTACGTTGCGATATTACTTAACTTTCGCGCTTATTTTTCGAGCCCCGATATCGCCGAGGCAATTACGCTTCGTTTGACTGCATAACATGTCGAGTTCCACCTATTTTAACGTGATTGTTGCCGGCTTGTGGCTTGTGCCCGACGACAGATATTTTGTCCGGGATATTTAGTCCGCAAATGATAATCGCGCCGCTAAGGCACTGCAAGCTTTTAATGACCCGTTAATATCGCAAATTAATTGCTTTCGCCACGAAATTTCGCACACCGTGACAGACAACTCGTACTGCAATTATCGATTTTGCAATGACGTTTTGTCACGAACGTTCAACGGAAGTAAAAAAAGAAAAAAAAACAAATACAGAATTTAAACAGAGATCATCTTTTAAACAAATATTTCGATTCAGATATTTTTGGTGTATTTCTATAGTTTTTTGTTCCTTTTTTAAATTTATTTATTTTTTATCAATTTAAATTTTACGCAAATGCAGGAATTTAGAAGAATGAGAAGAAGCGAAGTCAGCGGACCGAGAAGTGAATTTTCGAAAAATTTTTCCTTCCGACTTGAACGACGGAAAAGCCGTGCAACAATAATGTTTGCTTCTATTCAAGTTTCCGAGAGTGAACCGCGAAAAGAACAAAAAGAAATAGTCGGCGATATTGATCGTAAACGGTACAGTTTATTTCCTCCTCGATTTCCATTTCATTGGCCTTCCGCGTACGCATCTCTTCTTCTCACCGATTTTCGTATTCCATCTTTCAGTAATGGAATCCACGCACGAAAGAACACGTGCGTGCTCAGTTTCCGACGCAGCTTCATTTCCTCCTCCCGCATCTTTCGCGCTAATTAATTACATTCTCACGTTCTTTGCGAACATTCGCATCATAGGCATCATATCGATAAAGATATCACGCGGAAGGCACACGTATTTCGAAAACCTTCTCAC